TTCCCTGGCAAACTCTGGGTCTTTCCTGCCCTTGCAGCAGGTTTCCTTTTTTCAGCCTCTGCTGTGAAAGGAACTTGCTGATAGTCTTCTGAACTGGACTGCCAGCAAGCCTGAGGGCAAAGCTTACACAAGACCATGCCAATTAGTGTATTTGAATCGTTCTCTCTGCCAACTGAAAATACAAGCAAAAGGGGAGAGATGATGAGAGTCTGCAGGTGTTGTTCAGACTGCCCTTGTCATGGCTCCCTATCTGAGCAGCACAGGCTCTTTAATGATTAATGACGAATCTTCACATATCGCTACAAAAACGTTATCAGCCTGTTACTTCAGTAGAGCTGCTCCTTTGCAATCAGGAAGGCAGTGCCTTGGCAGTGCCTGGCTGCTCCTGCCCAGCCAAGTCTCTCTCCATCCTGTCAAGGAACAAACTCAGCCCTCAACACCCGGTTCGAACATCAGCGCTGGCTGTGGGGTGACAGCAGAGTTATTTTTGTTCCCAAACTGTATTTCACAGAGCAGCTCCGGCTGTGGACTTTCATCCAGGGAATGCTGTGAATCGCATACCGTATAGGGAATATGAACGGGGATCAGTTAATGATTATACATGATCATGCCTCGTCATTTAGTAATTGAAGTGAAATAGCCCTATGCTAAATGTCAGTCAGTCTGGAAAGCACCATGAAGCACTGTAAGGCTCATTTTCATTTTTTCCAGCTAGGGCAGAGGTATAGTTTCACGGTATCCGTCACAAAGTGCACGCCTGTTAAACCCCAAGCCCGGATATGACAATAACTCTGTATATGGTACTTCCGTCTTCTACTTACAAATTTTCTAACAGTGATTTTTGTTTTAGTTTTCTAGCAGGCAGATTTTTCCAGAATACCATTTCCAGGTGTGTTGTTATTTTAAGCCTGGATAAGCAGAAAATGGTGTGAGCCATACTGTGCTGTCACCTGAACTCAAGTTGGTGCCGCAAAGGTTAAGTGAAAAAATGGGGCACGCCTGACCCTTTGCGTGCCGCGCGCCGTTACTGGAGTACTAGAGTATACCAGAGTATATCGGCAGCCAGGTCGGGCAGAAACAAATACACCAGTCCCTGTCCAACCTAGGCCAAGGACTGCGATCAACCAAAGAGCCCGAGTAAATTTATTGACTCAGCAAGGAAGACCGGTTGCGACAGATGTGTTTGATGCTGGTAATTCCTGTCATACTGCTCTGCAACCCTCCCCACAGCCCCCCAGATTTAGCTGAAACACCCTCTGACTTCTGTTACTGCCGAAGAAAAGCCCCCAAAAGCATCACTGCCTTCTTATTCACGTTCCCCGTCCGCTCTTC